TAAATAATCCTGTACGAAGGTACAATTTTTTTTGGGGGGGGGGAGTGATACTCAGTTTCTATGAGCAAGTTACATGGCTTTAATGTTATGATAGCACGGATAAACGTATGAAATTACTTTGAATTTTCTTGAAAATTTAATTTGAATCACATTTTAGCCACGTGCATTCAAGATTTAAAAACAATAAATGCAGTATTGTGTTTACAATCCGACAGAAACAGAATTAAATTTACAGCTTTACTCAAACAGCAGATCTTCAAGAATTGCATGTGCAGCTTCAGTATTCGGGGTCTACAATAAAATAAAAAACAGTAAATAAATTTAGCAGAACGTTAATAAAGTAACTGGAAAAGGAGGAACAATTTTTTCATAGGCTGGGGTATACGCTTGTATGTGCGGATCGGTGTATGACATAACTGAAAAACACTGATGGAATCTGAGATCAGGGTGCTGAGGGGAATATTTGGACCGGAGAGGGATGATGCGACAGGAGGTTGGAGAGAACTGCATAATGAGGACCATTTATCACGAATGGGGGGAGAAGAAAAATTCATACAGGATATTGTTGGGAGAGCAAGAAGGAAAGAGTACACTAGGAAGACCAAGAAGTAGGTGGGTGGACGATGTTAAAATAGATCTTAGAGAGAGAGGATGGGATGGTATGTACTGGATTGATCTGGCTGAGGATAGGGACCAGTGGAGGGCTCTTGTGAACATGGGGATGAACCTTCGGGTTCTATAAAATGCTGGGAAGTTCTTGAGTAGCTGAGCGACTGGTGGCTTGCTTCTCAAGAAAGGCCGAGCCACATGGAGTTAGTTATGCCAAAAACCCATTAAAAAAATACAGGAATTATGACTTCTGTCTGTAACTCGTTCCTACACATTATCGCGACGAGACTTCTATATATAGACCTAAGGACATTTTAAATGTTTATGACTGTTGTCCATAGTCCTGTAAGAGAAGATTCTGAAGGCCGTTTTCTACAGAAATTACTATATACAAGACTATTACTCTGATAAGTATACAAAATAAATTTCTTTGTTACTGTTCATATGGCCCAAAATGAATGACCGCGTGCCTCGTGTCTGCCTAACGGTGTGATTCATAGCGAGTACCGGCTGAGTGTGGAGTCCTCTTCGAACGAAAGTTCCAAAGCTGTTTCAACATAGCCACACGGCTATTCGGTGTTTTTCCAAGACTTGCAACACAAGGTAGTGGGAAAAGGGCGTAACAGCCAACATAGTATAGGCGACTAAGTACATTCATGATTTAGGCTTGTGACTGTTAGACAGAATATGGTGTCCGTGATTGTATTTATTGACCACTGTCGCATAAAAACCCGGAACTACACGTAATTACAGCGCTATAACTGATTTCCGAACTTTATAGAGTTCATTGCTGCAAACAATTGTGTCCTCATCATTCACTAGTCGTATCCTGGCAACGGATTTATAACAGTCTGTCACTGCAGCACACATAAAGCCTTCGTCTACAAAGTAGTACACAGTACAGTAGTAGTAGCAACACGCCATGCCCTCACACGATTTGCAAAGTGTGTTTATGTTGACGGTGGACTTCTCGAAAATGTATTACACTAGGTAAACTGTGCCAAATTTGTAATTTGAACAAATCGGACAAACGGTTGTAAATATAAACAAAGTTTTATAGCTAATAAAAGTTTTTACTGATAGAAGAACAAGTGAAAAGCAGATTTACTTTCATCGAAAAACAAAATTATACAATACTTTAATTAGGCTGGTCATGATACACGCATCAGAATCATTTCTATTATCTGCAGCTGACGGAAAGCCCTCGTCATCTTTGAGGGTATGTGATCAATTAAAGACAACAAAGACTGGAGAATTAGGTGCAGTAATGAATTATGCGACGGTCATGGTAGCCGAGCGGTCTAAGGCATGTACTGTCTTCGCTCGCTCGGAAACCGGGATCGTGGGTTCGGATCTGTTTCCTGTGAGGTACGGACTGAATTCTTATATATTATTCTTATACACTGCCGGTCACGGTAGCCGAGCGGTCTAAGGCATGTACTGTTTTAGCTCGCTTGAAAACCGGGATCGTGGGTTCGAATCCCACTCAGGGCATGGATGTTTAGTTTGTGTCTGTGCCATTTTCTGTGTTTGTGTACAGGTAGAGGCCTTGCGACGAGCCGATCACCCGCCCAAGGAGTCCTACCGAATGTGTAAGATCTAGAAAAACCGAAATGAACGGAGAAGTTCATGGAGGTAGGCCTAGGCCTAGGCCAACTGGGGCTGTAGTGCCAAGGGAAAAATGAATTATGCGCCTTGTACGAGAACATGGATTTCTAGCCTTTATAAAAGTGGACAAGTTGAAATGGGAAGATCTTGTTCAAACTGACCAGAAACGACCCGCGAAAAGAATTATTAAAGCCAAAACAAGAAGACAGAAGAAAAAAGGAAGGACTAAATTGAGATGGGAAGGTGGAGTGGACAATGATGTTGAAACTCTGGAAGAAAGAAACTGGATAAACATAGCCGGGAATAAACAAATCTGGCAGAATCTTCTAAGGAAGATTGCGGCCACCAAAAAGGGGCCGTTTTGCCCCGTGCATAAGCCCAAATATAAGGCAACACCCTATCTTCCGCAAATTAGAAAATAATTTTTATTTTACAGAACTGAATACATCATTGAGTTATGAGGATTGTAAGCAAAAGAAGTACAAATATTCACCAACTCGCTCATGGAGCTGAGCCCTTCTTGAGAAGCCGCAAACTGTGCAACTACTCAAGAATTCCCCAGTATTTTATAGAACCCGAAGGTTCATAACCGTGTTCACAAGAGCCATCCAATGGTCCCTATCCCGAGCCAGATCAATCCAATCCATAGCATCCCATCATATCTCTCCAAGAATCCATTTTAATATTGTCCACCCACCTAAGCTTTGGTCTCCTCAGTGGTCTATTTCCATCTGACTTTCCCACCAATAACCTATATGCATTCCTCTTCTCCCCATTTGTGCTACATGCCCCGCCCACCTCATCCTCCTTGACTTGATCATTCTATTTATACTTGGGGAAGAGTACAAGTTATGAAGCTCCTCATTATGCAGTTTTCTCCAACCTTCTGTCACTTCATCTCTCTTCGGTCCAAATATTCTCCTCAACATCCTGTTCTCAAACACCCTTAGTCTGTGTTTCTCCCTTAATGTCACAGACCAAGTTTCACACTCATACAAAATCACAGGCAAAATTACAGTTTAATAATAAATTCTAATTTTTACGTTTTTGGACAGCAGACGAGAAGACAAAAGGTTCTGGACTGAATGGTAGCAAACATTACCCGAGTTACACGTAAATTTCCTCTTAATTTCCTCCTGAATCAGGTTTTCATTTGTTATAGTAGTTCCCAAATATCTGAACGGTCCCACATTTTCAAAACATCTGTTGTAAAACCAATATTATTAATAATTAATATATTTAATTTTTTTCCCCTTGGCACTACAGCCCCAGTGGGCCTAGGCCTACCTCCATGAACTCCGTTCACTTCGGTTTTTCTAGATCTTACACATACGGAAGGACTCCTTGGGTGGGTGATCAGCTCGTCGCAAGGCCCCTACCTGTAGATAAACAGAGAAAAATGCACACAAACATCCATGCCCTGAGTGGGATTCGAACCCACGATCCCGGCTTCCGAGCGAGCGAAGACAGTTCATGCCTTAGACCGCTCGGCTACCGTGACCGGCATATTTAAAATATAATACCTTAAATACAATTCTAGGTGTTTCCACAAATATAATTATAATCAGCAATTAGAACCCCCAGAATCACCTTCTTCATGTTTATTCGTAAGGACCCGAATAAAAGTGGAGCATTTTTCTTATGAAACAATATTTAAAAAAAAACTCGCATTGTATTCGGGATAATGCGGCATTAATTGCGTCTCAGTGCAAGTGGATAATCTGCACTGAAGAAGCAGACACGCAGCGCCATGTTTCAAGTGCGTGACGTGCGTATTCTTGCAGCATGTTAGCTGACGTCAGAAAGCACTTTTCATTCTGTCATATTCCTCAATCAATTATCCATTAAGATATCAGAGTGTTCTTCTGTGTTCCGACGACAAAAACACGTGTGTGGTTCGTCGACCCAGACAGTGCTTCAGATGACAACCGCAGCTGCAAGCAGAACTCTACTCTCTGTTGTTCCACTGGATACGTTTATAAAAGGTAAAGCTAACCATTCAGTCCAGAACATTTTGTCTTCTCGTCTGCTGTCCAAAAACATAAAAATTACAATATACAAAACTATAATTTTGCCTGTGGTTCTGTATGGATGTGAAACTTGGTCTCTGACATTAAGGGAGGAACATAGACTGAGGGTGTTTGAGAACAGGNGGATTGGATAGATCTGGCTCAGGATAGGGACCAGTGGAGGGCTCTTGTGAACACGGTAATGAACCTTCGGGTTCCATAACATGCTGGGAAATTCTTGAGTAGCTGCAGAATTGGCGGCTCCTCCAGAAGGTCTCAGCTCCATGAGTAAGTA